TTATGATTATGATTATGATTATGATTTACACAGTCCGTCAGATTTTCAGTCTAGGTTTGGCATTTTTCTCTACCTATCAAGTTCTTACCAAGACCAGGAATAGGCAAATCTGGGTGTTTGATGATTTTACAGATATCGTTGCAGGATGGAAGCAGTTCCAAGTAAAACCACCTTCTGCAATTGACTGGTGGCAAATTTGTTAATGCCTATGGTGTTCAAGTAGTGCTCCAGTTGTTTTGGGACTGCACCCAAGGTGCCTATTACTATTGTTAGTATCTTTGCTTGCCTTTGCCATAGTCGTTCTATTTCTATTTATAAGTGTTTGTATTTTGTTATCTTCTCCAGTTCTTTCTCTTCTATTCTGCTGTCTCCAGACACTGCCACATTCATTATCCAGACTTCTTTGACTTTCTTATCAATAACTGTTAAGTCCAGAGTGTTATGTGGCAGGTGCCTGTTGTTGTTGATGTTACAATAATATTAATTTCAACAAGTATTGCTGCAAATAGCCTGTATAAAATAAAGTCAGATGCTTCTTGAAAACTCTCAGGCAAGAAACAGAGATAAATGTATTCCTTTGTCTGATCCCATATTCAGAAAATACACTATTTTTGTACATAGAAATATTCCACTCATTCATCCCTACCATGGTCCACCGAAAATCTACCTACAATGAATATTTCTAACACTTTAAAAAATCCTCTAGGATTTCACACAAACTCTTATTTTTTTGTTTTACTTAAATTTCACTTATTTACAGAACTGAAGATAAATTTCCCTGATTTATCCTTGCTTTCATCTTTCTTCTTATTTTTATTGTCAACTTTTATGCCATGGAAGCCTGAATTTTGTCATTATTCTGCAAAAGAAACATGCAAATAATGCATCATATATATATAGCCAAAAGTACAGATAGTGCTAATGGTCACATGTAGCTAATAGATTAGATACAGAAAGTTTGCATGTGTTCTTACTCCCAAACACGAAATGTTAGAATGGCCTCATTTCCATGTCTGTACCTCTTACTGATGTGAAAATTGGCTAATATTTTAAAAACTAACATTCAGAATCATCTAAGCTGACTTACTTTCTATTATTCAGTTGCCCACAAAATTGAACTATTTCTTTGCATACTGTTTTTAGACCCATATTTAATTCAAGCTGATCTGTATTTACTCTACATTATCTCCATTTTCAGTGTTGCATTTCAAGTCAATCAATCATATAATAACTGGACAATTTTTTGGATCTTATAAATCTTGGGTTTTATAATTCTTACAATTAAACTCCTTTATAAAATGTACTATCCTTTACTCAGATTTCACTACTGGATTTGGAACCCGAAGGGCCACTTTGGCAACATAAACAAATAAATATTTAATTTTTCAAAATTAATTTTTCATTATTCTTCCTTCTTGGTACAGAAAGTGGGTTTGTCTTTTTTTTCAGGGTAGCGTTTTGGGGTGAAGGTGGCAGATAGATTATTTCCTGATATTGCATTCTTTGCTAAATTAATAACTATGACAGATACAATTTTTAAATGAGGTGAACAGCTTTATCTTACAATAACTTACACACCCCTGTTAAGTGGTCCCTTCCCTGAATGCATCACTACTAGATGGTAAGCAGATGAAACAGTAGATAATGTGGAATTTATTCTATTGGGATTAGGTTATATAGCTAATGTAGACCCTGGAGAAGTATTTGTTCAAATTTGTATTTTTGCATATATTTTTTATAAAAAAGAAGAAATGGTTAGTTAAATCCCTAGAAAAGGATGTTAAACAACCACTAACTAACTCATTATACACACCCACTGAATATTAAGTCAATAGCTTTGATAAATATTTGGTCCCAATAAACATCGTGCTTCTGAAATAGAACTATTAATATTGTACCAAATATCTTGTCTGCAAATTCAGTAAACTATTGAGTTTTAGCTTTAAAAACTATTATATTATATTAACTATTATATCTACAGTGATAGATTTCTGATATGATGCTTATCAAATCTGGATTAATTTTTGAGACAATAAAGGAAGGTAAAGTACTTTCAATATAATTTAATATTTTTTTTAAAGTTATTTTGTAAATTGTATATTTTCCAGACAATCTCATCACCTTTTAAAATTTATCTTAAAATAACTATATGATAGTTGCATGTGTGCAATTTTGTTAGTTTGGTGTAGTATATAAATAAATCTGAGTTTGATGAAATATTTTATAAATATTCGTATATGAAAATATACAAAAAACAACACAATATTTGTTGGGAGACATTATCAAACTAGTACAGAGGACTTATATAAAACTGAGTTTTCAACAGCAGAGATATTGTTGAAAATATCAGTAATTCCTGATCGGGAATCAGGAATTCCTTGGTTATATACTCTAGTAAACTATATTAGTATACGAATAGGCTTTAGGTAAACAATGGAAAAAACAGCAAGGTATTCATTGCTTGATCAGTACGGACTCTTTACTGAAGGCTTTCGTAACCTGATGTCCTTCATATGTATTGGAAATCCAGTCTTATTTTCCCCAATTCTATCCAGTCACTGGCCATGGTAAGTTGAAGAGCAACATACCTTAAGGCAGAGGTCCCCAACAGCCGGGCTGAGGCCTGTTTTAACCTGACTGTGGGAGAGATAGGCAAATGTGTGTACATGAAGGCTCATTTGCATAAGTGGCAGAAAAATGCATGTGTGTGAAGGTCCGCTCACACAAGTGGGGGGCAAGTGTGTGCATTCACTCATGTGAGCAGAGAGCACTCTTCGTTTGCATGCAAAGTTCCATTTGTACAAGTGGAGGGCGTACCTGACTGTGCTCACCTCTCGCACAAATGGAGCTGTGTATGCATGTGTGCACCTGCCACTCATTTGTATGTACAAGTATGGGCACAAGTATGGGTGTCCATACTTGTGCCTAGTCGGGTTGTCAATTTGGAAAGGTTAGAGACCACTGCCTTAAGGCATCAGGCTGAGAAAGTCTGTCTTATTGTATAATGATATTGTAACAGATTTATATAATGCTTCACAACCTATGTCAATGTTGAAATGTATAAGTCAGTCAGTTTATTACAGTCTTAGACCAGCACAAGCAATGTATTCATGACCAATGTTCCCTTTAAGCTGTGCAGCTGTGCAGCCACGCAGCCACACACATAACAAGAAAAAACACGCAGAAGTTTCAAACTTCCGTGCAGTGTTTTTTAATGTCTTAAAATATGACTGAAAATATCCCCCTCCCTCCCTTCTCTCTCTGCATCGAACTCTCTCCTCCATCAGGTGATTGGTGAAATCAAGGAAGACTCTGGCCGGAGACCGATGATGTTGCAGAAGGAAGAATTCCCATTGGTCCTTTGGGACTTTGTCGGTTCCTGGGAAAACGTGATTCGTTGGTTGTAGCCTGCGTTTCTCTGCACATCTGAGGTTTCTCAGGCAGGCATTGCGTTGTCTGAAGCCCTGTTCTGGGCTCGGCAGTCTTTCTGCGATCCCTTCGCTTTGTGGAGAGGAAAGCAGCGTGGAATTGGACTGCCTGAGCCAAAGTGGTCCACGGAATCTTGAAACTTGATTTTTGAGCAGTACCAATCTATTCCACTCTTTCCTTTCCCTTTCTGTCCTTCTTCTATCTTCCTTTCCTTTCTTTTTCTTTTTCCTTTCTCTTTTCCTTTCTCATTTCCTTTCCTTTTCCCTTTCCTTCTTTTCCCTTTCCTTTCCTTTTTCCTTTCCTTTCTCTTTTCCTTTCCTTTTCTTCTTTCCCATTTCCTTTCCTTCCCCCTTCCTTCCCTTCCCTCCCTCCCTCCCTTCCTTCCTGGGAGTCTGAGGGAGAAGGAGGGGATCCTTTTTTTCCTTGCCCCCCTTCCCAACCTCTGCTCTGATAGCAATTATGGCTAAAAAAAATTCAGGTGCTCAGGCATGAAAATGTGCCGCTCAAACACTATACTTTTCTGCTCACACTGAAAAAAAATTAGAGGGAACATTGTTCATGAATGTCTGTGAGTACTCATAAATCTATCTATATTAATAAATGTATTAATAAAACTTAGTTGCGATATTTGATAATAACCTGAAAAAGGAAGTTGTAAGAGTAAACAAATATTTGAAACTGCAGGAGAGAAATACTGGAGGGGGCAATTTGGAGCACCAAAATGAAATCCACATGGAAAAAAGATAAATTATCCTTTCCTTTCTGCATCTGCATTCCAAATCCATAAACTGCAGTTATAGAGAATTTGCGTTAATATAATGTGCAAACCAGACCACACACCAGCATGCCATATGTAGTGATCTGGCTCTTATTGTGCAGTTCTTATTGTCTGGTGACACTAATACAGGGAGATTCAATAAACACTTATGAGAGATTCCTATAATAGCAACTTAAATAAATAATAAAATAATAACCATATAATTGCTCAATAGAGAATGTTTTGAGCTTGTTCCAAAGTATGAAGATTTGGGAGTCTTGTATCTGATCAAAGATTCAACAGCAGAGGAGTACAATCTCTGTCAATCAAGACTATATTTAGGAGAAGAATATATATTTGCTGAGATTAAGTCATAAAGTTATCTGCATAATGAATCTTCCCTTTGCAAATTTCCAGTCTGGTGAGATTTTTCTCTGAATTTGTTGAATGTTAAAATTGTTTCTTTGCAAAACTCTCGAACCTCAGACCTTACTTTTAGTCTAATGCCCTTTTCCCAACCTACCTCAAGTTCAGCAATGATCCTATCCTCCTCATCGTCATCTTTGATGGCAGAAGCAATGATGGGGGGTGTTGAAGCAGGCCTGGCAACCTCAGATACGGTTCTTCTCAGTTTCACTTGAGGCTTTTGGGTTTCCAGCTCTTCGGATTCAGCTTTCTGATATCATAAAAAGCAAAAAAAGAAAAAGAAAAAGAAAAGAAAAGAAAAGAAAATGTGTTAATGAGAAGAAAAGAACAAAGCCAAACCACTGGGTTCTCTTTGATTTTACCGGTCCATATTTCTTCATTGGGAAAAATGGTCTGTGTACCTTCATGAAACTGGATTCTTTTTTGCTGGTGATGATCACCTCTCCTGTGCGGGTGGTTGTCAGCCCATGAGAAGATGGAAAGCTTCGCCGGGGCGGAGGAGGAGGGGGAGATTTGGAGGGCTTCTCTGTACGATATCTGGGCACTGTCAGCTCATCTACAATGATAATATTATTAGAATGAATCCATGTTTATATTTATACCTACATGTTTGAAAACTAATAAATACAAATACCATGACTAAAAGAGCCGAGGTGGCACAGTGGTTAGAGTGCAGTACTGCAGGCCACTTCAGCTGACTGCTATCTGCAGTTCGGCGGTTCAAATCTCACTGGCTCAAGGTTGACTCAGCCTTCCATCCTTCCGAGGTGGGTAAAATGACACTGTGGGGGCGATATGCTGACTCTGTAAACCGCTTAGAGAGGGCTGAAAGCCCTATGAAGCGGTATATAAGTCAAACTGCTATTGTTATTGCTATTGCTATT